GAGACTTCAAATTTGCGTTGTATATAAAGTTAATGGATACAAAGATTTTGTACTTTACAGATTTTGGATACCACGCCCCCTTCTCCCCCAATTTGTAAAAAACGCATTTCAAGTACTAGAGACTTGTGCTTTGGAATGTACACATAATTTAACCATATGATTACGCTCTGAAAGTTTCATTAAGATTGTATGTCTACAAAAGAAATTATTCAACAAATAAATTCTCATAATATTGCCCACATTGCAGCGCAGCCCAAGCGCTGTCGCTGCTAACTGCGCAGTCAGCAGAGCGCGTGCTTATAAGTGCATGTGTATGTATTTCTGCATAAAAGAAGTCCAGACTGATTAGAATATCAGCTTGGAGGGTTCAGGGTATCTCCTAGTCGAGCAGTCTCGACTGGAGCCTTCTTACTTGTTTGAAATGTCATATATAAATTTGTATTGAAACAAAGTATGGATATTCAATTTCTTTTATTTGGTGGATAATCCAAAACCAATCAAAAAAAAAAAAAAAAAAAAAAAAAAAAAAAAAACAAAGCAAAGACAAAAGAAAACCAAAAGCCCTCCGCATAAAAATATATACAAAAACATTTATTTTTAGTATTTAACATCATTTACTTACGGCTTTTAACAGACATTAGTATTATATTTGTATTTAAAAACTTTATAGTTTTAAATAAATAATATTATATTAATTTTTTAAATTCCAAAAATCATATGTATATATATATTTTCTATATAAACCATCGAAATCATATTTATTGTCAATTTTTAAAATCTCTCACTTATAATTTTTAATAAGCTTAAATATCTCGTTCGTATAAGGAAAATTAAATTACCTGTCGGATATCATAAAGCTAAAGATTTAAATAATTAAAATGAAAATTGCAATGATTTTTAAAATTTAATTAACTTACAATTAGATCATTCCTTTCATTTTGTAAGCTAAATATTACATTTATTCAATTAGGTTTCATTTGACGAATTAATATTAAAAAGAACATATATTAATATATGATAGATTCACTCCACGCTTTACCCATACTCAAAATATGCAGCTTAGCTGCATGCAAATTGAAATAGTTCGTGAACATATTGTGCTGGCCATGAGTGTATATTCATACCAGCCCCATGGCTTCGCTGGCTGCAGTAGTAAAATTGAATTGTCTGGGGAAAAGTTTGTAGTAGAGTAAAAGGCAGCGCAGTTAAGGACATTGTCAGGCTCATTTTATTTTAAATGGCTGGGCTGGTTTTTGCTAATTTGTCCTTTACATTAGGCAGGCATACACTGCAAGGCATTTTCAAATGCATTCACCTTTAGATAGTTGCAAAAATGTGGTAAAAAAAAATATAGAAAACAGATTTAAAATAGATTAAAATTTAAATATATTATTTTAGATATTTACATTGTTCATTTCATAAATTAAATTGAACACCTAGTTTCGCTCAGTGTATGCCATTTAAAAGGGCTGTCGCACACTTGTGCCCATTTACAATGCAAGCAGGACAATTTACAATGTGTTTTTGTTCATTATAGAACTATTTCAGTTGACCTCGTCGGCCCGCCCAAAAGACCAGCCCGAGGCAATATTCGACGCACTCACCGCCTGTCGCCTCAGGAACGTAACGGGAACAAGGGTACGGCCCGGACCTCCGACTGGGATGCTGCGGCTGCCGTTGCCGTTGCCCGCGGGGGTAGCTAATGAATAGTTGCTGTTGTGCCCAGGCTCGACGACGAGCTCAGCGTCTCTCAACACGCACATTTGTTGTGAATTATGTTGTTTGTTTGAGCGTCGACTTGATGCACTTTAATTGATGTCAATATTCAGAGATTTTTATTTTTTTGTTTTCGGTTTTTTACAATCGACAGAGAGAGTGAGAGAGGGAGGGGGAGAGAGGGGTTCAACATTTTTGGTGATTGCATTTCGGGTTGTTTACAAATATTTGCGTTTTCCAACCGATAAGGGCATCTGGCGCAATTTCGTTTACATAGCCGATAAAGCTAAAAAGATTCGTCTGCCGATGTTTGTTGACGGTGTCGAGCACTCGAGCCAAATATGCAAAGTATTTGCGCATATTAAAAACTAATTTCAAAAGTCAACATGCCAATAAAAACAACAAGCTCAACTCAGCCAGAGGGTAGCCCAATGGTGCCAGCCATATCAGTTCTCGCTCTCTTTCTCTCACTCTCTCTTTCTGTCTTTCTCCTTTTGGGCACGCACTCAAGACGCCATCACACACCCCTTTTTGGGATGGCTGGCGGCGCCCGCAAATTAAGCAAAAGGCACTCAATCTGACGACTCCCCCGCACGGGCAACCAGCTAGTAAATGAACGTAATTTAGAAAATATGTTCCTACGGTTAATATTTAAGCGAACTTAAGGGTTGATCCGTTCACCGACAGCCAACCAAAATGCGGGCGCCCTTCTTTGGGGGGTTGGCTTCTGCTGCCGCAGCCGCTGCCGTTGCTGCTTCTGCTGCACAAACAAAAGCCAAAAGTTATGCCGCAAATGATATTTTTCATTATTAAACACAATAATGTGGTTATTATTTTTATGATTGCGGTTACCACCAGCCAGCCAGCCACTGCCGTGCCGTTGCCTTCGCCCTTACCGAACTGACTCAGTCGTATTCCCGGCGGATGCTGCGCAGCATTCACAGTTGCATTCATTTGGTTAGTTTGTTTATGTTGGGCCTGCGGTCTTTGGGGATTTGGGCACGCTTAATTTTAAGTGCCCGTCGAAATGGCAAAAAAAAAAAAAAAAAAAAAAAAAACCAAAAGAAACGGAGCGCAGCATGTAATGAAATATTATGGCTTGACCAGGAGCAGCAGCAGTAGCAGCAGGCAGGGAAGGTGCTGCTTTCTGTTTGCCATGCGGACAAGCGAGCAAAGGAAAATATTTGAGCCCAAATGGTTTTCTAGTAATTAAAGACTGACTTAGGGCGCCGAGTGGGGTTTACGTGGCTATTTTAAGGCATTTTTCCCCAACTTTACAAACGCTCTAGCTAATCACAGCACGCTCCCAAAAACATGATCTACGGCAGCCGTTGTCGTTGCTTCTCACGCAGCAAAACGCCCAGAAACTAGCCTAGCCCTAATAAGGCAATTAATCAACATAATTACCAGCGATTAATCATAAGCGGCATTATGATGCATGGGCGAGCGTTTTAAGACTCAACTGTTGACAGTTTTGGGAGGGATAGAAATTGAAAAAAAGAAAATATATATATATCTATGTAAAAACTAAATCACAAACGCGAGCAAATAAATCAATGGCTCGATGGCAGGATATGCTCAGTGAACTGTGAGTCTGGGGCGGCCCGTTTGCTGCAAGAGTAAAATCCATCAATCCCTTGAAAAATGTCAAAGCCACAAAGCAACAGCTAACAAATTCCTGTAAATCCTTGCCTGGTCTACTTAAAAATTGAACAATCTTTTAAAAGTTGTGCGACACCCTTTCAATGCCTTGTCATATGCTTAGCATCTCATTGACCCGTGGCAGCCGCAGCAGTCGAACAGAGAAAGTGAAAGGGACAGAGCGAGAGTGCGAAGAGAAGGCAAAGGAAACGAGAAGCGGACTGAGGTGCCAGCTAATCAGTTTGAAATGCTTCCATATAGATGCCTCTGTGCGGCATGAATCGGTATATCCATAGATATGTATATGTGTATGTGTATATGTAATTTGCGTTCGTCTGTGTGGGTTGCGGCACATTTTAATTTGTAATACGAGTCGAAATTGGGAGTAACTTCAGACACGCTGCCATGGATTTTAGGTGTGGATTACACGAAACCAGCTGACAGCAGAGGACGCGGCAGAGTTGGAGATGACAAAGATCTGAGAAAGGAAGCAACTTCCCGGCCAGAGGACATACATACATATGTGTGAAAGTGTGACTAAAGCTGTTAGTCGAAGCGAGTCTTTAAAATCTTGAAGCAAAACTAAGCGGATGCTATGGGCATCACCCATTTTCATTAAAACATATGATTAAATGCAAAACATATTTGATTATAAAGCTTTACTCCGCCACTTATGAGCTACTAAGGTAAACAGTAATTAGCTTACAAAGCTTCTGCATCAACTAGTACGCAACAAGGTATAAAAATTGCAGTCTGAAGTAACCGACTGCGCAATACTCGTTCGAAGATTATTATATATTATTATACATAACGATTAAATCATCCATTGGGGAAGCAGCTCGATGAATATAGAAGAAAGCAAATATAGCCAGTGTGATTCGCGTATCATTACATAAACAAAACTAGTTTCGAAACACCGCGAAATGCATTATATAATCTAGAGCTAATGATATTTAACTGATTGCATTATATAATCTAGAGCTCAAGGTATCTTTTAGTAGAACTGAAAATTTCAAAATTATAGTAAAAATCTTAAGACATTTTAAATAAATAATTTAAAATAATATAAATATGTAAATATACTCAAAATATTTTTTGTTTTATTAGAATTTTTGTGCTGAATATCTCTTAGATATTTATTCATTTTAATTTTTGTGACTTATGTATGTCTTGTTTATATAATTGTTTAACAGTCATCGAGATCTTTCGATTTCAATTTATTTTGAGCAGATTTTAAGCGATTTGATAGGGGTTTTTTTTTTTTATATTTAAATAAATAATGAAATAATAAATATCTACATATATATATTTTTTTTTTTTTTAAATACCTACAAAATTAAATTGATTATATTCGCAACAGGCTGACTGGAAATATAGGAGAGTAAAACTGGGAAAAAATTAAGCCAAATATGCACGTGAGTGTGGTGCTATTGACACAGCTGTTGACAAAATCAATGGATAGCTTTGATGAATAAACGTTGTCCATTTTCAATTCATATTTCATTCATATTCAGTTCAATATTTTTGCACACCCAAAACAGAGAACGAAAAACGAGATAAGAAAGGGAGCTGCTTGAGAGCTGTGCTGCTTATAGAAGCCGGCTATAGTTTGAACAAGCAAATATGAAATAGGTATGTGAATTCATTCCCATGGATACAAAGGGATACTTCATTTTGCATGTATATACTTAATCAAAAAGTCAGATATCGCTATAAAAGACATTGGCTGGCTGGTTGGGTTGCTGAAACTAATTTTGCACTGCTACGATTCACTATGAAACGCTCTCTACTTTTCCTACTCGGAGTCTGTCTCTACAGTGCACTCGCATATAACTTCAACTATCCAAGCGACCCTGAAATTACTGGTAAGATATCGTGAATAATGTAAATATATTCGAGTCTCTGATTAAGATTTTGCCAACCAGTGACTTGTGATGATGGAGAGATTCATAATTATGTCCGGATTGGCGAGAAATACTATTTCCATGGTGGATCAAAGGTGACCTGGTTCCAAGCCGCCCACATATGTCGAAGATTTGGCGGAGATCTGGCCTTGATCGAATCGGCGGAAGAGATGCAAATTCTTTCAGATTATCTGGCCGACGCCGACAGGCACGCTTGGTACTGGATATCGGGCAACGATCTTGTCTCAGTTCACAAGTTCATGTCAATAACCAACGGACAGCCACTGAAATTCTTCTCTTGGTCTGGTGGGCAGCCAGATTTTCCAGGTGTTGAGCAGTGTATGCATTTGTGGTTCCGGGATTCAGCTTTCCGCATGAATAACTGGAAGTGCCTGGAGAAGGCAGATTTTCTGTGCCAGAGACAGAACATGACTCGTTGCAGCGATAATTGCTAGGCTGATCTTATATATCCTATTAATGAAGCTTATGAAGTTGAAAAATAAAAGCCTGCTGAAGCTAATTCTTTAATTCATATATTTTATATTGCAACTGCTAATAATCCATAAAGGAACCTGGTTCAAGTAGACAACAGTTATTTGAAAGTAATTAAGAGTAATTAAATATGCCAGAAACATCTCAGAACATTTATTATTTTAACCATCTATGAACTTAAAAAGTTTCATTGCAATTTTTAAGACTTACTCTCCTGACCTTAACACGCTTTAATAGAATATAAATCGAAGCTCTATTATCATAGACTGAGACAGGGCGAAAATGTTGTCGTAATCTCTCGATTATGCTTTCAGTAATCTAACTACTTTAATGACAAACCCAATTTGCCGCCATCGAAACAATAAATCACTGGCAAAATGACGCTGTCAAATGGGGAGTGACAGAAAAGGAGGCGAGCCGAAAGCAGCAGAAATAAAAACAATGACACAAAACAATTTCGCAAAAGATGCCACAGACATAGCAGCAGAGCCGCAGAGCCGCAGAGCCCAACCGAACCCCAAACCGAATGCTGACCGGCATATAACACCAGCCACGTAATGCGAAAAGGCTCGACACACATAGGCACAGATAGATTGGCACTCATACGTGCACACAAGGACACACTTCCTCAAGCTTGATAAAGGTGTGGAAACGTGCGATTTTGTAATTGATACTAAAAAGCCCTTAATTGGCACCTTAACGCTGCTGATGCTCTGACAAATTTCCCCAAAGGACCTGCAACAAGGGGCTGGCGTTGACAAGCGACGTGCGTGGGCTGAACTGCCCAGGCAAGGACATGGCCGTGTGAGTGGGCGTGGGCATGGGCATTAAGTTTCGAGTCGGGGTTTGCCTTTGGGTTTGGGATTGATTCACCCACATGGTAATCCGATGCGCTTAGGTAATAGAGAAAATCTGAGCCAACGGCCATGAATATCGGTGCCATATAATGCCGACGAATCGTCATTAGCATCATTGTCAGCCACATGATTTGCCCATAAGCAAGCGAATGTGAAGTATCAAAGTCCGACCAAAAACAAATGGTACTCATCCATAATTGTCTGGCCAGCCGCTGCTGTTGGTCAAGTGGGACTTGAGCCAATAAATCTCATCAAACTAATTCGATACGTGGAGTATGTGTTTGTACTGTGTCTCTGTGTATGTGTGTGTGTGTGTGTGTGTGTGTCTGTCTGTGTGGTCTGCATGGATGCAGAAGCAAGGCACCCTTGCGGTTTTTGCTGCATGTTTGCCTGCCTGTTGTCATTTGTTAACATTTCATTACATTTATTTCACTAGAGCGACTGGACACAATTCCAAAGTGGATGAATGGATTTTCCGTTTGATGTTGCTTCGAGTGGCTCGACCACACCAATTCATCCCCGCACATACATATACATATATGGATGTACGTATATATTTATAAATAGATATATTTGTAGCTGTATTTATTTGCGCTCAAACCAATTTGTTTTATAATTGAATTTGAAATTGAAGATGACATTCGGTTTCCGATTGTTTGGCGTGTGGTGCAATAGCCGCAGGCCAAAGGGCCAAGTCACCCACCGAAAAGCGCTGATCTAATCTGACCTCAGCTGTCTATATGTTTTGGGTAATAATGGTATGCACAGATTGCGAGTGAATCTGTGTGTGTGTGTGACACAAATTTACCATAAATTCAATTATGTATAAAATTTCACAAGAGCATTCTTGGCTCAGTTTTCGCCTAACGCACTTTTCTATTTAATTTGCTTGCAAGTGTCAATCTGGTTGCTCTGCGGTCGTAAACTAAAATCCTCGTAAATAACGCACATATTGTGCAGTTTGACCTTTGCGTCATGATGGCATTGATTTTATTTATGCATCATTTGATTTTACGGTTCTTGCAATCAATTTGCTCGCATTGTGCAAACACTTGAAATTTATAGTTTTACACAAATTCGATGCATTTATTTTAATGGTGGTTCGATCATGAGGCCATTATACATACAGGCTATTAAAGAGTTGTAGTTGAAGGTGGCGGCAGGGCGAGCATTTCTTAGAGAAATCTTAAGTTTGCTAATGCCAGAAAACGATTTACTTAAAATACCAAATCACTTTTAATTTGCAGTTGCTTAATTCGGCTGATAACTGACTTCGGGCTCAACTGTAAATTAAAAGTCAATCGCAGTAAATGTTAACTCGGAGCCATCGAGGAGAATACCCCCAGTCTCTGGGCGAATGTTAACTAGACATAAAATTAGCATACATGCCATAAAGCAAATTCGATTCCTATCGAGGCAGTGGCAGGCAGGCAGGCAGCCAGCTCTGCGCTTTATATAATGGAGGCACTCAGCTGTGTGTCAAGCAGTTAACCCGCTTTTAGCAATAAAATTAAGTTTCCTCTAGACCCGGGTGCTGGCTACCAACACGTACAAGTCGAACGTATAGGAAATTAATGGTTTAAGGCAAAAGTGTTTAACGAAAGTGCCAGGCGGGTGCAAGGCAATAAGAAAGGCAACACACACACACACACACACACAGACACACATATATAGCACCCTCACATGCATACGATAGATTGAAGGCAGTAAATTCTTGGACTATCTGTGTATTTCACTTTATTGGCGCATGAAAGCCGACAAATACGAAAGGCACGAGCAGCCAGTCGCCTGTCAACCGAATTTAAGGGAGCTGCTGGCTCAAGCGTTCCTTCAATTTGAGTCGAGAGAAGCTGTGCTTAAGAAGGCGTGTAATTGAAACATTCAAAAGACAATTTCCAAGTCTTAGCACAGACACACTTAATGGACGCCGAAGACATGGACAAAGTTAAGAAGTGAAATGCGAAAGAAAAATGCCAAACCAAAGCAGAAGCAGAAGCAGAACGAAAACGAAGCCAGAACAAGGGCGAAGGCATCGGGTGGAGTCCGGAACCAGGATATGTATATCCTGGCAATCAAGCGTAACCGAGGGTCAACTGGGCTGGCATGTAACACTCGCAGCTTATTTATGCTGTTGCTATCGCCATAGCCATGGGCGTTGGTTGCCACTGATTGGGCAAGGTAGACAAAGCGGCCTGTGCGTTAATTAAACAAACATTCAAAAGATTGATGGCCCTTTGATTGAAAAACAATTGATGCAACTGTGTGGCAACATTAGCATGATATTGGACGTTTGGTCAAAACAGAAGACAAAAAGAATGAAAAAAACAAAACATCAGCGAGCGGATCTTATCAGCTGACGTGCCAAGAGTTCAATATGCGTCCGCCTGATGCTTGGCCTGCTGGCTCTTGCCTGTTGCCCTCTTGCCTGTTGCCCGGCATTGGCCATGCCAAAGTTCGCATAAATAAAACTCCAATATCAATAGAGCCATACACACTTATGTACACATAAGCTGATTGGCAGCGTTATGCGGTCCGTTTCCGTGGTATTTTAATGGATTTTTGATTTCCGCAGCGCAGTGACGCTTTTGTGGTGGTGGTTTCTCGGCCACTTTTTTTTTATCACTTATGTAAACAAGGGCCATCCAACATCCAAGAGTGGGACAACACTTGGCGCTGACACGTTCTGTTCCTATAAAACAGGACTGGCTACCCGCATAAATAACAACCGAGGAAGAACAGCTCCGTAACTACAGTATGTTAACCTAACGATGTAATAATCTGATGGAAATTACTTAACTTTACAAATTATATTGCGGTTGCTTCAATATGATCTACTGCAAGGAATAGGTGGGAATAAATTCCAAGGATTGCCTTAAGAATTCTTGACGAGACTAAAAGACGATTGTTACATATTTCCTAGTTTTCGATTAACCAAAAATTAAGCTTAGTCTTCTTGGGGTAATATCATAGAAACAAGTTTTAATCTCGCGTTGACATAAGTATGACGCTTATCAAAGCATACCTACTTAGTAAAGAAAAGCCTACAAAATCTCTTTGAATATTAATAATTCAACAGGTTACATCGTTCACTGCATCTTTTTATCAAGTTTCTATTTCACTAGATTGTCTATTTTATAACATTATACTTATTCATAAAAAAATCAACATACATATGTTAACTTAAAATTGCTATCATCGGTAGAAATTTCAATGTTCTATTTAAGTCATATTTTACATTGCCTTGAGGCAGCAAATAAGTTTAAAGCTGTTTATTTATTGATATTAAATAATGCCCAAAAAGTAATGAAAATTTTGCTGAATCATCTATTCATTTCTGTAATCAATGCACAATTATGAATTACTAAATTCTCCAGGTATAGGAAGAGAATAACTAACTTGTATGCTACGAGTTTGCTATGTGTTCCAATTATATTTGAGGCTATTTATATTTATATATGTATAGGCATATCCAAGTATTCGGTGGCGTATATGTACATATATATTGCTACAGATTTGTATTATATTTTGGAGTGACAATAAACACGTTATAGTTAATAAAAATACATCATAATCGAATAATCGCAGCGTGTATAATAAATTTGTATATTCGTTGGCGTTTCGAATTCTTCTACATTTTTAGATGTTTATTAGTTTTCTTAATATTTATTGAATATCGCTAAGTTAATAATGGTTTTTCTTTTTATTTTTAATACTCATAATCTAGCCAAAAAATTTAGTTTTTGTTTTTAGTGTTCCGTGTATAAAATAAGTTACATACGCATTGGCCAAGTCTTCTGTTTGTCTTGTCTTTTTGTTGTTTGTTTGTTTGTGACATTTGGTTTTTGTTTGTTTTTGTTTTTGGTTTCGTTTACGTATAAGATGTCTACATTCATAAGCACGCTATAATTGAATAATTAAATCTATGCATTTGGTGGTTAGGTTTATAAAGCATGTCATAAGTATTTGTTGCTACATCATAATACATGAATAATTAGGTTGTTAAAATATCAATTGAACCTGAAAACATATTTATATTGCTTGGTGCTACGCATGCATACGTACATATTCCGTTTAACTTAATTTACCATACAATCACAAACAAATACACATACATATTTGTAAATGATGATGACATACATAGTTAATTAACGCACTACAGTAACAATCACAAACATTGCA